TAGGGACGCAGGGGCATGGATAGGGGTTGATTTATAGGGGGGAGGTGAGGGGTCAGGGGGGGGCGGCAGTAATGTCCTGGTGGCCTTTATGGCAACAATGAAAAGCTCAGCAGGGAAAGTGAAGCCTTGTGTGTGCTCAGCAGAGTTTATTAAAACGGCAAAAAGGCTGAGTAGCCACAGATGCTGCTGTCAATAACCAATTCACCCACCCATGCAAATGCACGCCCACATACAAAACACACACCAATGCCACACCCCATGCCATACCGCCGGGTGTGAAATGCACTACACACACAGTTACAGAAGGAGGGGCAGTAAAAACAGATGGTAAGTGTGTGGATGGATGTGTGATGTTGTGGAGAAGTGCTCCGGGGGCGTTAGGATTCCGTTAGTGTGTCAACCTCTAACGTCTATCAACACCTCGAGAAGCTGTGAAGACGCACGGATCCAACTGTCTCCACTGAGGAGTATTAGCTGAAACTTAACTCCACCAGGAAGTGTTAAATCATTGGTTTCAGTGCAAATAAAGGCAGCATCTGCTAAATGAAATAGCATATTGACGCAATTTTGATTAAGTAATTCAGACCGCAAGAAAGTGGAGGAAGGTTAAGATGGATAAAAGCCTTTTCTTATTGTATCTAGTGTCCAATGTCACATGCAACACTTTAATAGCACTTGCTCTCAAGTTGCCATTCAGAAATCTGACTTCCCAAAAGAAACATCAGGATGTCTCGACAGTACGGGCAGAGGAACGTCCACACGGTATCTTGGTGCTAATGGGACAAAATGGGACTGCCACCAGAGGTCAGGTTATGACGACAGCTGCCTTCATGAATGAAGTGCCAATCCCACAATTTACAATATTTACTAATGGTGAAATAGCTACACCAGAATCCTTCTCAAAGTGTATCTGTTCATATTAAAAATGGAATTGTACGCAAAAGAAAGACTATTACAAAGCATTTGGTTCATCCATAGTAGAAGTGTAGAACTGATTAATAACAGATTTCAGTTTCAGATCAAGTAAAATAGCTTGTGCCATCTTCATAAACCATGCTGCTTTTCAGTTTGACACTATTACAATATGAATGACAGAACATGTAAAAGAGAAGTTCCTTTGGAGTACAGATAGATATAATTATACTTAAAATCTTTATTGGGATCTATTTTGTTGTTTTGTTTGCATAAAAAAGTGAGTGTAATGTTGCTGTGAAGACAAAAAACAAGCACCATGGACACATTTTCTGTAAAAGCACTCTGCAGCTGTCTGTTTGTATTTATTACCCTAAAGAGACTATTTGCTTAAGTACTCTGTAGCATTCCAAGTAGTCTTTTAAATCAAGGAGAACCTTTCTAAATTATAAGAAGGCAGCTTCAACGCACCACATTCTCCACATCATCACAAGCTGAAGTCTGGAGACATGCTGCATTTATTTCACCAAAAATACATGAAAGGCACATTTATAGCAAAATTACAGATGTGACTCGGTGTGATCCAGATGTGACATATGTGTGACATCTGGATTGTGTAATGGACACTAATCAACACATACATGTTCATCCCCTGGCTGCCACGCAATTGGAAATGAACTTCCGCTATTCCAAATGTAAATAAACTAATGACTTTTAACCACAAGACAAATCCTACTAATTTGAAAGATAACTTGAAACCATACCACCTCAGAGCAGCTTCCTGCCTTTAATCCCCCTGAATACAAACACAAGCAGACCACTCTGTTTGAGTGTGCAGAGGGGCAGGGCTCGGATTTCAAACAGCAGTGGAGGCAGGTCAAAGGGGGCAGCCTTTATGATGATCCAGGAGCGAACCCCTGACAGGGGCTCAAGGGCTCCTGCCATCAGAGCAACGACCCCCAGGCCACAAACAGCAAGCCACAGGCTGACATCAAACAACAGTTTGCCCCAGAGAAAGCAAGGCAGGGCTGCTCTGCCCTGATCCACCAGTCCACAGAAACAGGGGCCCACAGAGAAAGCCAACATACCCACAACCTTCCCTTAGCCTGCTATAAATGACTTGAATTGACTGCAACCGATGTGCACCATGAAGCACAAACAAATTCCGCCGTCTTAACCAATCTTCTTAATGTTGTTGTTTTCCCAAAACAAGCTGTGCCTTGATGTAGAGATGCTGATTTAGGCAAGACACAATTAAATCCCCCTGCTAGAGAGCTCCTTCAATAAAAAGGATAGTTTCCTCGAATTGCCAAAATGACATATCCATTTCACTTTATCTGTGGTAGAAAAAAAGGCAGTTTGGATGTACTTAAGAAGTAAATGTCCACTGATGACAACCTGCCCAGCCTGAGCAGAGTAGTGTTACCATAGTAAACTACATTAAATACCTCTCATCTAGTGACCCGAATAAAAATTCCACTCAGCACACTGTTGCTGCTTTGTTAAATATATACACATAAAAATGATGAATCCAAAAAAAAGGAAAATGATGGTTCAAATCTGCGTAACTGCTGGATAACTGGATAAAGGCAGACGGCCACAGATCAAAGAGGTTATGTAAGAACAGCATAAAACCGGCCGCAGTTATTTGATGAAATATTGTGAGAATTAAAAACAAATGTTCCGACTGTGAGACAGAGAAGATGCAAGCCAAAGGATCAAACATCAGCTCCGGCTGCTTGTTGTTCTACTTCTTGAGTAATCAATACCTGCTCACCAGAATCTACCTCTGGCTATCAGCTACACTGCAGATGTGAACCGGCTCATTATCACTGCAAACTCTTACCTCATAAGACACTTTACAGCTGCAGATCAGGAGCTGCTCTAAGTCATGATACTTAATGTTGTCTGAATGCATTTTCTTCAACTGATAACTATTCATATCCTAACAAGACTGGCAGCCATTTTTCCAGAATAATCAGAGTCTGCATCTGCAGGAGACATCTGACCTACTAAACACTCTCATTACCATGCTTGACAACAAGCGTAAAGTTAGTAGAGATGATACAGTAGGTCTGAATATGCTGCGTGTGAAAATATGTAACATGAGGTCTCTTAATGGTTCATTTCAGTGAGTTGAGTTTGTATAAATACAGAAAAAGGTTCATAGGTTTTGAATTAGGGCTGAGTTAGTTAATTAGGGCATCAGATTATTTTTTAGATTCATCAATTCATTATTTGGTCTACTCTATATAATGTTAGAGGCTATAGTGATGTGTTCGAATGTCTTGACCTCTTGAACCCAAAGATATTCATATTACTATATATATAAAATACAGAAAAGCAGAAACATATTTATTTAAGAAGTTGAAAACACAATTTTCTGACATTGTTGCCATATCAACAACAATAACGTAAATGATTAAGAAATACAAAAGACGATGATGATTGGATGTCGATTGATGTATTCTTTTGTCAATGCGTATTGCAACACAAAGGATGATCCTTACACAACCACAAAATGTCTAAAGCCAAAATAATTAATTGAATGATTGGAAATAAACTAACTCCCAAATGTAATACCCGCAAGCTATTTGCAATGCAAACGGATCAAGCTACAGTATATTATGCAAATAGCTACCTGTGAGAATATTTACAATGCACGACAACAAGCCCCTGCGCATTACCCTCGGAATTCAATTCTGCCTTTCAAAACAATACACCTCAGTAGGGTTTTCTGTGTCTCCAGTGGACCTGTCTAGCAACAGCTATTCTCAGAAGCATCAGGTTGTTGTTATTACCCCGCTGGGTTCTGTAAATGGGAGGCTTCGTCATCTCTTGTTCAGCATCCCCCTATGACTCTGCATCATCTTCCATCATTGGCTGAAACCCCTTAGTCATCCTCACCGGGGGGAGGAATGGTGCTGAACATTCCTCAAAAATCAGAGCTTGTGCTCAACCACATGCAATTTTGTAATTCCTCAAGAAGCACTGGTGCCTTCTCTTTCCTTCCCCCCGACCCCCGCTAACCTTCCCCCTTCCTTTGGATTTAAGGCTGTGTACGGGGACGTGAATAGGTGGTATTTCAGCATGCTAACAGGCACTGAAGAACAGAGCTTGTTGGCTGGGGGCCAAGTCCCCATGGTTACCCTGAAGCAGCGACTGCTTCTTTCCTGAGCTGGGCCATCTTGGAATAAACTATCTCTGCTCTGCATGCATGGAGGGTTTAAATTAGACAAGATATAGGTCCCGACTCCCTAGTGCATCTTCCATCACCCAAACATTGCAGTTTTATGCTTGGGAGTCTGGCTGATTACTTTGAATGGAAAACACAACAGAGTGCATAGAATAGTAATAAATGACCAATCCCAAACAACCAGTTCTTCTGATGTGGCCCATGAGCAACAATCTTTAAAGACAGGTCCTAACGTGTGCTCTTCCTGTGTTTGGGTGCATAATCATGCTATAATGCCGTGGGAACATATCAGTAAAGATCCTCACACCAACTGTGATAGTAACAGGTTGTTAAACACGTCATCATAATAAAATGCACTAGACCAAGAAGTAGCAGTAAAGGGCGTCTCAGAAGATTAAGATTGAAACATGATTGCACAAACAACCTGAACATAACAGATCACTTGATAGGTTATATCTGTGGAAGATAAGGATCTGTTCAATGGTGAATCTGCTGAGCACTTTCATTAGTTTTTCACATGCAAAACTGCCAAACAAAAGGATTAATAGCCACTTCTGAATGCAATTACCAGTCTTTTTATTTTGCTAATGAAGTTCACACTGCTGGCATACATGGTAGGTTATACCAGGCCTGTAAGATTTGTATACAAAACTAAGTTATGTGAAGATTAAATGTTCTGGTTAGACATGTGATAGTTTGCCATGCAGAAAGCAGCAATGGGTCTTATTTTGAAACTTTTAGAATGTAACAGACCACATTACTAGCTGTAATACTGTGGGCTGTATGAAATAGGCTGTGGCTCTTATGCAGGTAGTGGTGAACTAACGTTAGCCTGCTCCCAAAATCAGTCTTCCAGTGACTCCGAGCATTTCCCAGCCAAACACCTACTTACCTTTGACTTGACTCTCGTAATCCGCGATGATTTCTTTATCCTTTTTGAACCTCTGCGAAGACATTTTCTGTCTTCTTTTCTCCGAAGCTTGTTGTAAACTTATTGTAAGAAAAAAAACTGTTTGTCAACAAGCGGAATCCTACAACAGCCGACGCATCCCACACAGCTCGAGAAAAATGAACGCGGGTGGGAGAAAAGAGGCGCGATACAAAATTACACTGGAAAATATTTAAGTTTGCGACAAGCCCGACCTAAAGCAGCAAGAAGAAGCCGCTTAGTTCTTCATTGTTCCTTTCCCCCCTGGATATACAGCGGTGTAAATGCGCAATGCTGCTCCAACCAATGATTCCCCTCAAGTAACAGAGCAGTCGGCGGATCAACAGCACTGCTTCTACCACAGAAGAAGAAAAAACAATCACGCAAGTTTCTCCGTGGCGGCTTTTCACTGCTCTAGGTAAAGTAGTGCCAACAATCCGTCCGGAGGGCTTTAAAGTCGGTCTGAAACCTGAGCGTGTGTGCTTTTTGGTAGTGGTTTTCCAGTTTTGGGACCAACACACACACTTCCCCCCTTGCTCGCTCTCCCTCGACGGTTTCTCCCCCCAGCTCCCAGCAGGCTCAGAGGTAGACAAGGCAGGCCGACTGCAGCACTCCGCAGCTGGAGCCAGGCAGCGACAGAAGGGAGGGACATGCTCACAGACAGCTAGTGGACACCCTCGGACTCACAGCCCTGCTCGCGGAGTTGAAGGCGGTTTTCTATTTGACCAGATTAGTCAGCAGACAATTACATTCAGTATAACGAATGGCTTGTAATTTGTAGGTTAATTGCTTTTCCTACTTATCGTTTTTAATAAAATAACACACGTTTAATTTCTTAACAATTAGCCATGCATTTTCACTAAATTCACATTCATATAAATGTTTAATTTGAACAAAAATGTAAATGCTACTTTGCACCCATGCACTTTCTGCTAACATTTAGGATAGAAGCACTTTATCCTATGTAACCCTAAAAATATACATCCTCCTTACTAAGGATTTTTATTTGGTTTGTATTGTTCCATTTTTCTGTTGTTTCTGTGCTCAGCTGTCAAATGTAATCTAGTGGGACTTTAAAGAGGAACATAACTGAACTCATAACGTAAAGGAATTCAAATTAACTTTACCCCATTAATTTACTCTGACAACTAACAATTTATGTTCTTAGATTGTTTATGGTTACACCACCATTAACCAAAGCAAATACCTTGTATGTGTAAACGTACCTGGCAATAAACAAATCCAAAATAAGATCCCATACAGACTTTTATTTTCCCCCCAGCTATTTGTAGGCTCACAGCTGCAGTGCATACTTCCAACTACACCCATGCACTCATAGAGGAGTTATCTAAAGTAGTTTATGGTGCTAATGTGTTTTACATGTGTGTTTTAGTTAAGAAGTTATTTATTGAATATTAAAAAAACTAAACAAAAATCAATGCTTTCTAATATATACTAGTGGGGGCCTGTTTTCCAAGCTACTTCCATTCCCTCATATATAATTAGACTCAAGTAGATAATGAAGGTAATAAAGCATATATTTATAGTGTTGAGAATGTATTTGTTGAATGTTGCAAAATACAACAAGTAGTCAAATAGATAGTAAGTACATTGTCTAAGTTTAATTGTGAAGATAGCAGCATGCTTGTGTGCCATTGTATTTCTTGATCTCTGTTGATGTAGTTTACTCAAGTGTTCCCCTTTTTTATATATATCAAAATACTTTTGCTCTATATTATAATTGAAATCATTGCAGCCTCTGAAAATAAAATGGCCCACAGTGCCATCTGTAGGGGAAATAAAAGCACTGGACAAGCGCATCCACTTCTTTCTCTTCTGGATAACACTCAATTTTTTATTTTCTTGCACTGTCTAAAAAATTCCATGCGTTGCACCAATTAAATAAATAGAACACAAAATAAATAATTTTGTTATGTTTTGACCAGAAAGATGTCACATGCCACAGCAAACAACATCCATATTTTAGTCGCTCACAATTAGGGCTGGACGATATGGCAAAAACCTTCCATCACAATATGGGTCATTTCATATCTGATAACAATATACATGATAACACGTATTCTGGTAATTCAATAAATAAATAAATGAAGTTATATAAAATAAAACGTGGTTCCTTATGTAATTAAGACAGTTAGTGCAACAAAAAAAAAAAATGGTCACAAGGGCAAATTAAATAAATAATAAAAATATATATTTCCACCTATAGACCCAATATGTAAACATACATGGCACACATTCAGGGTACTCAAATAAAGACAATGGCTTGATTTATCTGGAGTCCAGCTTGTTAATCGCATTAAACTGAGTGGTAAAGTGTAACATAAAAACAAATCCTCAATCTTCAAAGGATGTCAGCCAAAATATTTCATATCAGATTTTCTGATCATTTTGAGTTAGTATGTGCTTGTTATCAATATAGATTACGGAATTCCGTATCACAATATCTGATACAACACGATATAAAGGATTTCATCACAACATGATTCTATTGAAAGACGATAAATGATTATATTGAATAATCGCCCAGCCCTACTCACATTACAAAAATAATAACTCTAAAAACAAGGCATAATCATTTCATTCTACTCCAAATGTTAAGTGTTTCTTAAAAATCACAATATTAAATGCATACAAACAGATATAAAACATGGTTGAAACGGTATATGGACAAAATGCAAAGGCAGTTTAAGATTTAGTGTTTCTAAATGCCTGGACATTCCTCCATTGTAAACATTAAGATGATAAATAAACCCAAACAAAGTCATGGAGCCCTTTACCAACTAGTAATGGCAGCTTTACAATATACATAAATGTTTTTTTATAATAACCCTGACAGGAATATACCACGGATCATCATCAGGTTCACAAAGCCAGTAGTATGTCACATATCTCCACAGACCACAACATAAGTTAAACCAATGTCAAACGGCTACCCCTGTATATCTTTTGAAAAGTTTTTAGTTGAGCACCACAGTCAGACGTTTTTGAAGAAATTCTCCTCTAGGACCTCAGTGAACCTCTCCTTCATCTGCTGACGAAAGCCGGCGTACCACTCCAGCAGCCTCCTCCTGCGGTCCACCCTCTGCTCCTGGCTCATCCCCCGCTCCCTCTCTAAGATGGCAGCTAGTTCTTTCCAGTCACTGATGAAGATGAAGGGGGCTCCTGCAGCTTTGAGCAGTCGCAGAGGAGAGCTGGACCCGGCAGCACAGCTCCCAGGTGTCAGAACATCCTCCACCACGGGCACGGAGCCATAGGAGCAGGCCTCGTAGATTCGGTAGCACTCTGAGTTGATTCCGACAGGGCAGAGTGTGAGCTCGCTCTGGACCAGAGCGGTCTGATACTGTCTCAGACTGTCTGCTGTCTCCTGAGGTAGCCACCTGAGGAAAGGAATATATTTAATAATCAGTAATCTGCAATAATGTTCCAATGAGATGATTCATATAGTATACATATTACCTCAACTATTTGTTGAAAAATGTATGAAATGCCCTAAGGCATAAACATGAAGCTACCAATAACATTATGATTCTGCAACAACAATATAACTAAAGAAAAAATAATCTCAAGTACCACAGGTGTGGGAAAAATCACAGTGCTGGTGTGGGTAAAGGGGGTAAAGTGAGCTAGTTAAAGTATATAATACATTTCCAATGTAAGTGATGGTGGACAAAATCCTCCTACCTATTTTTATGAAAAGTAGTGCATTTAAAGATCAGTTTAACAATAAAAGGCCTAACTTGGTCAGCTTCTTTGATGTCTAATTTGAACTAATAGAATGTGATATCAATAGAGGCGAAGTCCCTCCCTTTCCGGTGGACCTCCATGGGACCTTATTTCGGAAAAATTATGTATTGAAGTCAATGGCGAGAGAAAAATTATCTTTCAATCCCGTTTGAATTGTGCCACGAATTACACATATGATGTTTGTCAATTTAAAAGATAAATTTGCAAGTAAAAAAAAAAATGTTTTGCCGTAAAACTGTGAAGTAAGACTTTTTTTTTGTGTGAAACCGCTCAATGAACTACATCTCTGGTCTCGCACAACAACACATGTCACAAAGATGGCCGTCAATACTGTCTGACCAAAAAAGGGTTGACTACCCTCACTATCACCACAATGAAACACGTCCAGAAGAATGTCATGCAAAGCTGCCTGCCCGCCTGCCGGCCTTCCTTCGATTCTCCCTGAACTGCCTGATCTTTTTAATGTTCAATGTTAAAGATTAGTCCGGAGCAATGACTTACTTCTCCCTGGCATTGGTGATGCATTCCTCTTCCAGACCAGATTTTTTCAGCACCTGCATGAGAGTTTCCCTGGAGGAATTTTTGTAAACAGTTCCCAAGAAATTACAGAGGTATGGCCTGTTAGAGGTAATCAGTTGGGCATTTGGCCTGATCATAGGAAACTGCCTGTACCTGCGAAGAGAAAAGAAAAAAAGTTAGATAACCTTTTTCAATAAAAAGACAACATACCATTTTATTGATATGTAGCCTTGAACATGTAGGACTATTAAGAGGTGACCTACGTGGCGACGCCCAGAGGCCACTGGAACACATCCTTGTCGTTAACCCAGGGGCTGTCGTACACTACAAACAGCAGGTCCACAAAGCCACCGTTCCTCTTTAAGTAAGGGCCAATGAAGTCGTTGTGGCAGTGCTCATTGCCCAGCAGGACCACAGCGACATGTGACACTGTTCGGGACTTTACCAGAGCTTGGACATGCTCCAGCCACCGCGTGGAATAAGACACCTTCTGCGGTTCGCGGCCATTCAGAACCAGAACCAGGCTGTTCATGTCCAGAGGGACATGACCCTGGACCACAGCAGGACCAGTGTAGAAACTAAAGATGGAAAAGCAACAGGGGAAGGAGAATATGTCAGAATGATGGTGCTGTTTTATTATGTAGTTATTATATGATGGGGTGTTTTTCACAGATGCCAACAAGTAGACTTTATCGTATGGCATTTTTTAAGCAATATTTTTCCTGTTACCTGAAATCGATCTTTCCTGACTGCAACTCTCCCTCTCTCCATTGTGCGACCTTGTCAGTAGGGTTGAGGGGTCCCTCTAAAATATGTTCCCAGAGATAAATGCCTGAGGACAAAAGAATGGGACATTGGAATTTGAATTCAAATGTTAACATGTACAGTGCCATTATGTTGTACCTCTATCAGGCTTCCAAAGCAGGTTACATATCAAATGCATGTAGTTTGTATATACAACTACATCTTGTGTGAACATAGTATTATCAGGTGTATACAGTACACAGTACCTACTAAGGCCAATTGAGCCAAGCAGCAAATTGGAGGGTACCATTATCAATCACTCCCAAAATGTTGTTTCAAGTAAGCAGTATTTTTGTTGGGTAATATATGGTAGGACTAACCCATACAGTGGTGGGGCTCAAGTCAGTATTTGTAATTAGATACACGCTATATTTCCTACCTTGACAGTAGTGAGGTTTAGATTATTTCCCTGTCTCAATCAAAATGGAACTGTATGAAATAAAACGGCACATTTTTCTTGTAGTAAATAAAAAGGGATCACTGAACGTGACGTATGATAGTACACGTTGAAGATCCAATGGGGATACTGAATGGCCGTTCCGATTGATCTCAATCAGAAATGCAAAACGCAGACCATAGGTTTCGTTGGTCTGATTGGCTGTAGGTCTATTCAAATTGCATTCGGAGGCCTTTTGATCTGACCGCGGCCATGCTGATATTATAATGCCAGAGAATTTCCACACCTTTTGTGTATAAAACTCCCCCACTACTTTGACTATTCCTTGCACCCCTCTTCTAGCATAACCCCAAATGGTCTCAAACATATTTTATTTATACTTGTTGATACAGCAGGATCAGTTTGTGTGCTGTGGACACGACCCGTGTATTTTTGCAAGCTGTGTTCTCAACATTTAGCCTTTTGCTTATTATTTATTTTAATTTGCTTACTTTAACATAATTTTTCATGGTGGGGCTAAGGTGGGGCCAAGCCATTTCTTGGTATGGCTGTAGCCTACCCCAGCCATACCCTGGCAGCGCCACTGCAAGTAAGTATTATGAGCTGGAAACTTTTTCTAAACACTTTTGAGATATAGTTGCATATGGTGTTTGTTCCTCTGATATGTGCCTGATAGTTGCCTTTTTTCATTCTGGACCTCAGGAAACTACATTTGTTTAGAACTATTTTATTTAGTTTAAAGCACAACCACAAATGAAAATACAATACAATGTTCTTTTCAATACAAACATTGTTGCCTTCGTCATCAAAGGTGTTCCTGCCCTCTGCAATTCCCCTACAACTGTGATGTAATAATAACAACATTTAGATTTTCAGATATTTAATACATACATTCACTAAATATACCTATGAGTTTAATACATTTCAATGATGTATGCAGAGGTTCTGTATTTCTCGCACTCCATCTTCAGCGAAGAATACAGTTCTGTGCCACTGTATCATTCTATATAATAAAAACATACCTTGATATAAAGCTAAATAAAAAATAAAATCACCAATCACAGGAATGACAAACTTTTTTAGATGTGATCTAATTCAAAATAAAGTAAAACTAAATTCATAGTGCAAAACGACATTCATAGTGCATCTATCTAGTGATCTACTACACCAACACATATCTTCTCCTCCGGCTGTGATTGATGACATCTGATAATACCACGACCTACCTATAGCAGCTTTGCCCCAGATTTGTACCCTGTATCTTGTGGCTTTGTTCTTGTCAATGCGGGCCAGGTGTTTTTTGAAGGCCTCCCTCTTCTTGGTCAGAGCAGAGTTGTAGTCCACCTGTTCGTCCTCCCACGGATTCCAATCACGCGCTAGAAATGGAGCTCCACCGCCATCTTTGACACCACCTGCAAATACAACAAACAGTTTCCATTTACTGTATGGGCACTCATTTTCCATTTCCAAAATAAAATAGAAACGAGTTTCATTGTGAAAAATGCTGGCCGCTTATTTGAAATCGGGGCTAGGTGACGGCTGCGCTAGCTAACGTGAATTTACCCGAGACTGTCTCTTTCTTCACCACCCGGTGAACACGGGAGATTACTTTAGTGCTGAAGAAGACATTGTATGCAGCATACAGTGAAAATGCCACATACGCAAAAATGATTAGTAGAAAAAGTTTTCTTTTTGGTATTTTCATTTTTCTTTTCTTTTTTTATTTGTCTCAGGTTACCATTGTGTAGCTACTCTCCATATTTTGTGAGAGGACCCTTGTTTACATCACAAGGACCTCTGAGTACAGCTGACTTAGAAAATGCCTGTGCTAAAATAAGCCGTTATTTATATTGATGAACAGTTTCTACTGCTTTAAATTAAATAATTACAACATTTTAACACAGAATATATATCAATTGTAATTTAACTATGAAAGAAAACCCATAAAACAATGTCATAACCCGAGAAAAACGAAAGGCACGCTTCGGTCAGACCGTACGTACTGCGGAACCTTGTATAGGCGGAGCGGGTTTCTGGTAAAGCAGATCAGGGAGGTGCACGTAAAGATTTCTACACACAAGGTCGTGTCCCCCGCGCCGGTTTGGAGGTATATTTTTTGGGTAAAGATGATGTCCATAGCTGCCCGTTCCGGGGCTATTACCCCGTACATGCAGGCGACAAAACAAACAGTTACAAGCCTGTTGTCCCCGGGAGTAAAGACTTTGGTGCCTGCTGCTGGTAAGGCCAAGAGAAGGACGTGTGTGTCTGCTAACAGTGAAAGTGATATTGAGCTGCTTGCTGTAACGCTACCTTAACATACACAATGTTTTAAAAATGATTTGTTAATATATTCATGATAGACAACGTTTAAATTGTTTGTCATTTTGTGTGCAACTAACACTACTATGTACATACAAACTTGCAGTGGTTAGCTTGAAATAGCCGGTGTCATAACTGACATATGAAACCATGCCGGGGGTCAACAATAGATAAGAAGTCTGAGGTATACACTTGTGATATGTAAGCACCTCAAAACACATTACTGTGGTCCAGTTTCTGCGTTTACATGTCTGATGTTGTTTTGATTTGTGTTATGCAACTATCAAAGTTGGGCTATGTAACCATGGTTTAAAAAGTGTTGCCTAACATGCCTGCTAAGGTATAATAATACACGTATTACTGTTGATTGTACAAAAGAAGAAGCCCAGGTTTGTTTACCTTAAGATAACTCAAATTATTGCTATTATTCATATTGTCTGTTATAACAAGGTTATGTGATCAACAGAAAAAACAGGCAAATATTTTTAGCAGCTATATTGTGAGGTTGTTATCTAATATACATGAGGAAAACATACAAATTTGTATGTAAACTTTTATATCGTTTCTATAATCAATAATGACTAATGTTTATGGATACAATAATTACATCTGTATCAATTTAATCAAAAGTAGGAAGTTATCACCATGATAAAAGTTAAGATGGATAATAAAATGTCCCTGTCACATGAATGCACCAGAAATGATTGTGTTTTTTTAATTTCTTTTATTATTTTGTTAGATACTGAATCAATTTGCCAATATGCTGCTCATATCTTTAAACACTGCTTTTTATGTCTCATTTTCAGCTCCAGGAGGGGTCCGCCTCTCCCACACAGATATCAAGATTCCTGACTTCACGGACTACCGCCGCCCAGAGGTTACCGACCCCAACAAATCCTCCCAGGGGAGCAGTGAGGGAAGAAGGACCTTCTCTTACCTTGTCACCGGAGCAACCACCGTCGTTGGCGTGTATGCCGCCAAGACGGTGGTCAGCCAGTTCGTCTCCTCGATGAGTGCATCAGCAGATGTCCTGGCCTTGTCCCAGATTGAGGTTAAGCTCGGTGACATCCCCGAAGGCAAGAACGTGACCTTCAAGTGGAGAGGAAAGCCCCTGTTTGTCCGTCACCGCACAGAGAAGGAAATCGCCGCAGAGGAGGCTGTGAACATCGCAGAGCTGCGTGACCCCCAGCACGACAAGGAGAGAGTGCAGAACCCCAAATGGGTCATCGTCCTCGGGGTGTGCACGCATCTGGGCTGTGTGCCCATCGCCAATGCAGGAGACTACGGAGGCTACTACTGTCCTTGCCATGGCTCCCACTACGATGCTTCAGGAAGAATAAGAAAGGGACCCGCTCCTCTTAACCTGGAAGTTCCCTACTATGAATTCCCTGATGAGGACACAGTGGTGGTGGGATAAATACTGGAGCTCTGTCCGAGTTCCTCTCTGTAATATGTATTTTTTGATGCTTTTAAGAGGTAGGGGTGAAATAATATGTATTTGCTAATAAAGACATATTTCCAAACTCTATGATTGAGTTCTTGCGTATGTTATGTAAAAAGTGAGTTTTTTCTGCATCCTTTAGCTTGATCACTTTTTTACATCAAGATCAATTCACTTCAATTCAAACTGCATTTAATATTTAGCCAATACAATTATTCAACACAAAAAGTGACAGTTACAGAAAGCTCTGTGGAAAAAGTCAAGTTCTAAAATAAATATCAGAGAAAATAAAATGAATAATAACTTTTTTTGAATTGGCTATAGATAAGAGGGTAGCTTTTCCTTTTCCTTCATTTTTTCATGTGGTGGTTGGGGCTAGTTTCATAGCTACATAAAGCTGAGTTGTCAGTATTTATACACACATGAACTAAAAGAGACCAGAGGCCTGTGCTACGAAGCTGGTTCAACCTAACCTGGATATGTTTGAGTTAAACGGTTGGCCTAATCCAAAACATACGCGCTCTCGCTAAACGGTACTACGACGCGGGTTATCAAGTGGATCACTCAAGCCAGCCGTGTCCCATCTAGTTAGGTGCTAACACTTAGGTGATCCACTTGATAACCCATGTCGTAGTACCGTTTAGCGAGAGCGCGTATGTTTTGGATTAGGCCAACCGGCTAACTTAAACATATCCAGGTTAGGTTGAACCAGCTTCGTAGTACAGGCCTCTGGGTACCCCAAAGAGCAAAATAAGGGGGATGAGATGAAAGGATTATCATGAAAAGCCTCTGGCAATTTCAACAAGTAACAATAAGGTGTAAACAGAAGAGGAGTTTGTACTGAGATCCAAAGGTTGTTTCTTTGCAGGAGTGTTTTGACCAGGGTTATGTTATCTAACTTTAAAGAATGTGTAGACGACTTGTTCTTAGGACCCTGTTTTTCCTTTAAGCGACTTTCTGTCAAACATGATCACATTTTCATACCACTAAAAGCAGCAGCAAATAATGTAAACTGTCACACACAAAAAAAAGCCCTATTTTTTGACACGAGTCACAGATGGTTTTAATCCTGGCCAATAAAGTGTGATGTATAAAACTTTATAAGTCAGTGAAAAAACACAAACCTTTTGTTTTAATTGATGAAATAATTTAAATACGATATAAGGTGCACAGATAATGGTGAACTCCCAGTCATAAAGCCAATAAATGGCCAGCAAATCAAAAATATTTCACATTGTACATTTGGCGGTCATTCATTGCATAATCACCAGTGTTTATAAATTGAAGTCAGTGTAGCCTAACCATGAACGTCAGTGCCATTTAATGCTTATTAATAAATAGTACCTTAAACTGATGTGTGTCACGGCTTTTCCACAATTATTTGCAAAACCCATAGTGTATCCAGGAGTGTGATGGTGGCTGTACACTTTTAAAATATCATAGTTTACATTAAAGGGGACTTATTATGCAAAATGCACTTGTGTACATCTTTTATACATGAATATGTGTCCCCGGTGTGTCAGGGAGATCACCAAGTGTCGGAAAACACAACCCTCTCTCTTTTCCTCCATACCCAAATCTCTAAAAACGGGGCTGCAACGGATCTGATACAAACTGATTCAGATTTGAAATATCTCTGACGTCAGAAACAAAGAGCTCTGCCTATATGGGCAACTCTCCACCTATCAGGGGAATGGGGGGTTGCTGTGGCATGGTAACAGCATGGTAACAGCATGGTAACATGACTGACGCTCGTGTCTCGCCCCCCTCCTTTGCTCCTTTGCAGGGGGGCGTGGTCAGCTGCAGCTCATCTGCCACAGAATCAGCCCTTGCAAAAACAGGGATGGAGTACAGCAAATAGAGCGAAATGAGGCATGGCTAAACTGCATATCTGTTTGGTATTTTGAAAAAAAGACTTCACAGACATGTTTTATATAGGTATGGCCCTTTACAATATATTATTCAAATATAGCATGAAAGGTCCACTTTAAGTAAAGAGTTTCTCAAAACAAAAGTTCACATTCTTTTCAAAGGCTCCATCCTTCTGCGCCCCTGACTCCACAGACTCTAATCCACATAGTGCACCTCCGCCTGGAGCTCCTTGGTGATGTACCCGAGGAGGGCGGCTGTAGCCTGCTGCTTCAGGGCGGCGTTCCCCATCACTAGAGTAGTTAACTGAAGCACATCTGTCCACTGAATGTCCCCCAGGACCGCCATGAGACCCTCATAAAGCTTCTGCTGCTGCTGGGGGCTGAGCTCCATGATGATCTGAGGCAGAGGTTTGAATTGTCCACTGGTCAGCCAGCAGCCCAGGAGGCCCCCAACAGCACCGCCTGCATGAGGAAGAGGGATTCAAACTTGTGAAGTACCGCCTGTACATATATTTAAAGTAAGAAGAGCAGTTTAATTTTTTTCCACTCACCGACTGCAATACCAAGGGGACCCCCAACCAGGCCTCCAGCAAAGGCGAGCCCCCCTGCTGCTGCGGCTCCCTTTCCCGAGCCTTTCACTGTGGTCTGGATTTGCTGATGGGCAGATAACTCACAACACAGCTTCATGACATCATTAATTCGATGACACATACTGTGGATCAGAAGAATTTAGTGAGACAAGACATATTTTATAATTGTAAAAGACTTAACAATCAGCGAAGAAGAAGAAATCTGGATAAAACTGACCATTTAAAGTATTTGTAGTTGGCTATTTAACTTAACTTAAAAAACACTGACTTAATTAATCAATTTAAAAATAGCATAACATGGTCTTAAATGTATTTAATAGTGTTGCCCTAAAGTTAGTTTCAAAGGCAATCCTGTGTACACCAGTGAAGCAGTGGGATGTGATTGCATCAGAAAGGATCATAAGGCAAAGGTACAGGTTTCACAATGTGACATCTATAGCATTAGACCTCACGGAGTAACCACAGTCATTTTATTTAATATCTACATACCTTGCAGTGTTAGGAAATCCTCATCAATATGTTTTGTCAGTCTTCTTATTTCTATAATGTTGTTATGATATGTACTGGTCAGACGGTTACTCTTGATTTCTGGGCTTGTATGACTGACCGCAATGCCTGATGGGAACACAATAATGGTGCGTTCAGGGACACTCCTACAATCCTGAATTGCTTCCTTTCTGGTTGATAAACAACCAATAGCTGCAAAACTATGAATAATGAGATAATAATGACTTACAGGATATTTGTTTCCTCCCAGATGCACAAATGGACTTCCATAACATTGATCAGAGGATACATTAAATAATATTGTAGCAGCAATACATTAAATGTATTTGAATGTTGAAGGTGTTCCCCCTAATAAACATACTTACCTGGCTTCTATACTGTAGGTGTTTGTTTTCTAGGGTAGGCTAAATTAAGAATGAGTAAAAGAGGAATTCCTTAAACAATGTTTAATAAATATGAATTAAGGTGTTTGGGTTTTGTATTTATTAAGTTAATATCAACTTAAATAATTATACAAATGCACTTTCCGGATATTTCAGATGAATCTAAACTCATTTGTGGGCTAATTAATTAGTTCAACAATTAACAAACGAAGACCTGCCTAATCCAAACCTTACAAAACACATTTGTAAATGGTGTACCAGTACCTTTACAAATAAAAGGATCTCTGGCTACCATACCCATCATAATAGGGTAGTTGATCTTTTTTTTACAGGATTTTTTATTCTTGTTTCGTAGTCCATTATTTGCATTTGCTCCCCTTTACAAATCATATTTCCGACAGCAATTGAAGGCAACAAGAACAGCCAATGAGCGTCTAACAACAAGGGGGCTGGAACCATAGGTTGATTATATAAAATATCTGAAACCAAACTTGTTTATCAGAACTGACCTGACAAAGCCAACTTTAATATCTAATGATTGCTTTGTTGGCTTATATGTGAACATGTTTGTGGTTAAAATAGGATGTTGAACTACTATATATGTGCAGCTTCAAGCCTTTTTACATGAAGAGGTAACCCAGTGCTAATTTTGAGACAAAAACATCTCTGACAGTGGTGGTGCTGGTTATTTTGTTACTGTGTGTTTGGCTTGCAGGAGGATCTTGGCTGGCTACTGTAAGGCGACTGTTTACATTTGTGCAAACATCCATTTTACTCAGAGTACATTGGGGGACACAGAGGATCAGCTGCGTCAAGATAGCTTTATATAACTGAATACGGGAAATGCATTGGTGTCTCTTCAAAATAAAAGCATGGTGGGGGACTTCACTGGAGTGGACTGGGAAGGGGGCTTTACGTGAATGTCTCCATGTTATGCCACTCCATACTTCTTCTCAACTAAGTTTCAGAAATTTACTTTTTGTACCTCTTTGTTTATTTAAACCTAGCCTACAGGTTTAGCAGGATAAAAATCAACTTATAAATATAGAACATTTGCTATGATAACACTAAACAATAACACATTTTAATGATGGCTTTTTCAGTATTTGATGCCAATATTTGCAAACTTCTACTTAAGTTTACTTAAGATTTATTTTTGTTAGTTTACTTATTTAATAACAGGGTTAACTCTTTTTATTTTCAATAATTGATGACAGTACTAACTAAAGTATTGTTTTCCAACTGCCCTCAGACCCCAAGGGCTTTATAATCCCAGCCAGAGCAAACTGTTTGCCACAGACACAGTGTTATGTGGTAATTTACTTATTTTCTTGGAATATGGATGGAATATTTTTTTAACGAAATGTGTTGTTAGATACTAATTAAATAACATTAAGGATAAACTCTTTTTTTTCTTTATTTATAGCCTCACTGAGAAGCGACGTACCAACGATAGCTTTTATTTTGAAAATCATGAGCGGAAGTTCCCTTGTTATTTATGCTGTGTTGACATCGGACCGAGGTGCACGTCGCAGCGAGAGTGACGAGGAATATTTGCTGTTCTTTTGGATTAACACCGTGGATATTTTTGGAGATCATGCAGAAATCTTGAAATGAGAGTGTGAAATGGTATCACTTCCGAATGTGCGGATCTTTATCACTGCCCCATTGATGACTACGGCCAGAACGGGTCTCAGGAATCGCTGCGGCTGCATTCATAAACACTTCTTTAGGACTCACAACAACCCCTGAGCTTTGTTTTGGGGTTTCAATTAGCACAATTTCCTTTTGTGCACCTGGGTTAACAATGGCGGAAAAAGGTAAAATGAGCAATGAGCATCTCGGAGGAGTTGCCAGGCTCCGAGAGGAACAAGAGAAGGTAATTTAACCAGTTGACATGAAACATTTAGCTAATAACGTTTAACGTTAGCCCAACCATAGTGTGCTGCTGGCCACGCGGTGGTTCAGCAAGGGTCTTTGAACTACCAGTAAATCTACTTTAGTGCATTTTAAAATGAAATACAGACCTTTATGCACTAATTGCACAAATGTTTATGTAGAATTAGTTAGTTGTAAGTTAAATGTCTGCATGTTCGAGAAGCTTCCTCTCTGGCAGCCACACACATGTACAAGGTCTTGTTGAAAATGGTGCCTACAGGAGGGGGTGTGTTTAGTGTCCTTTTCTGTGCCTCTGTGTTTGTACTGCTAGTGGTTAGCGTTCACACTTTGTGAAACTGACTTGTATTGTGTTTATGAACTGTTGACAACTGCTAGCTAACGGTTAACTAAGTAACGCACGTGACAGTTTTAAAAACAATGGGAGCTTTTTAAGTTTCGATTTGTTAGATACGAATCTGTATAAAGTCAACACTAAGAAAGTCCTGCAAGCAAAACTTTAGAAATGTTTTGTTAACATGAACTGTATTTGTCACCATATATCCCATTGAAGGAATGTTTGTGTAATTCCATTTGAATGCAGTTTTGACCGCTGTGTGTGTCTTCCTCTCCTGCTTCCTGGTTGGGTATTTTTTCCATTTCCCTGTGTGTGATGTTTCTTTAACTTATATAATCACAAGTTGTATGTTTGCAATTTGCATGTTGCAATTATTATATTTGCCATTATACCAGAACATGTTATGGCTATTCAATCCTTGACTTAAAACTATGTAAATTCCATCGATTTTGGACAACTTAATTTTCATTAAAGTTATCTGTCTAAAACAGGTGGTGAAAGACTGTGAAAGTCGGATTCAGCACTGGTAAGTTTGAAGAAGATCACATGTACTTTGTCAAAAGTTGCATAGTGATATCTTTCTATACTTTTTTTTTTGTCTTTGTAATACACTGTTAAAAATATTGATGATAAACAAAGTAGCAAAAAGCATATGTTCAATATACAGTTCCTTAAAGAGATAAATAACAAAATATAAACATATCTGTGAAAATAAAACACATTCATGAGGATTATTTTTTAAATGTTCTGCTCAACATCATCCGCCTTCTTCTTTTCAGGGAAGTTTGTATTTAATCGAATCATAATTTTTAAAGATCCATTTAGAGCTGCCTAATTTTTTTTCTAATAATAGCCTTGAGGTTTTTTTCTTTCCCAAATAATCAAGAATTGATTATTTGCAATATTGATGCTCTGTATTTAGAGTGCTGGCGGTGGTCTAAATCTACAAATGAGACACTCCCTGACCAATCAGTGGCATTTGTTTCAAGCATGCCATAATTAGCCCGTTCATCCTTAATCCCGAGCACACTTGTAGTTGGAAGGAGAAGCATTGTTAGAACACAATCAACCTTTAGGCCCTGCACACTGCACAGTGGTATTTAGTCTGATTGCCTAATCCAGATGTGCCAAAGACAGTTTTCCACATTTGTGGAAGAGAACAAGGCTCTGTTGTATTTAAGTGTCCCGGTGATCCTTGACATTGAGCCATATTGCAGAACACCAGGATCTTGAAAACAGATAAATGGAATTAAGCCATCATTAACTTTATTATTTCCACTGGTCCGTTTGAATGATTCACTCAAACAGATGCAACAAAGCTCACACAAGAGTGTAGTAGATTTGAACAACAAGTAGAGGAAATACAAAGTGGAAACACCTGTGTGAGTGGACCATAACTCATGTAGGAGCTCTACTATAGTGTAACTATATTACAGTCAAATGTATTTGTATTGATGCAAGCAGTGGTCTGCGGTAGTGTTATTTACTGTAACTCTGCACAGCAGATGAGCAGAAAAGGTCAAAGTTCAAGTCCCCATGTAAGGACTGAGTACTATATCTCAATTACTGGCATACTACACGTTACAATACAGTATGCAACCTTGTAAAGGCTACTGCAGTTTTGACTAAAATAAGTATTTGGACCTCAAACGCAGTATTCCAATGTGTTGGGCTGATGGTGAGTCTGGGGGCGTGTGCATACTTGACTTCTCTGTGACTCTCCTTTTTGCGTTGTTGACAGACCAAAATAAATGTACCATTCTTATTGGTGCACTGAATGAACAGCCTGGTTCTGCCGATCATTACATCTGAACAAAGGCTGATTAACTGAAAGCACTTCAGTCATGTGCAAGGCCCTCTTTACAAGTAAACTGAGTACAGATATTTTAAGTTTGAAAGAGCAATAAAACATCACAAACTAGTTCTCGCTTGTTTCAATATGAATGTTGTAATTGCACCTGCAGGCATGAAATTGGAGAAAGTAGGGCGCCTCAAAAAAAGGTTTTAATCGTAAAAGATTTTTTTAAGAGTAACTGTACATAGCTATGTTTTTTTTTTACCTGCAGCAAGACAGTGTGTTGTATAGCATAGTATTATCATCATGATTTTCTCTAAAAATAAATAAAATCCATGTATACCAGGGACATCTTGAGGCGACTTTAGTTTCTCTAACGCCCCCCTCTGAAGGGGGAAACGGGCACTTCCTAATTGCTATTTTTTACTTCCCATTGTTCTTACAATTGTTTAACCTTCAAAAATAAGTCCAACAAACCAAATTGGATAACAATGGCTCAGAGAACATCTGTGACTTCAAATAAATAAACAAAAAAATGTTTATTTGAATAGTGGTTTGCCTAACATTGTGAATCTGTGCTTCTGCAGGAAGAAGGTGTCGGGTGACTATGAAGCGCTGAATGACCGGCTTAAAACTCTTCCAGATCAGCTTTCTTATGACATCACGGTGAGTGCTGACCTTGTTGCAAATACAC